TTCTGTAGCTGTTCCCCTCCCCTCAGACCTTACTGGAATACAGGAAACCCAGAAGTTTTGGAACACTGACAAGCTACAGTAGTCAGGATACATTGTGACTAAAGGATTTTGTTTTGTTTTTTTTTCTTTAAGGGATTGGTCATTTAAATATACAGAAGTACAATAATCTCACAGGTAAATGAATGGCAGCTTGGATTAGAAAAAGCACCAAAATATTTAATATACATCTGGCACAAATTTCACAAGAAGTCAGTAATGAACAAACCAATGCTTTGCTTATAAGAAAAAAAAACACCTCAGACTGCACTTAATGCTCTTCTTCCAAAAGGGACACAACAAAAACATTGCACTCAGGATTGCTATCAAGTAAAGACAACCTTCTTATCACACCCTATTTGCATTGTGCCTTAGATTGCACATTCCATAAGACGCTGTTTTCATTCTGTTCCAGACAACAACAGTGAGCAAAATTTGATACAAGAAGAGTAACTGTAAAACTAAAAACCAAATGGGATTCAGTAGATGAATTGTCCTGAAATTCTCCCACTTTTCCTCTAGATCATGGTTTAAAATTTGGCTGCATCCCCTTGAAAAAAAGGTCCTCCAGGAAACAGAATTTACTCCAACCATTTTCAAGCATTACATTTACATTTCTGACACTGTTGGCCCAGAGAGGAACCAGGGGCTGCTCTGTGACACACAACACATTCATCATTTCCCAGAGTGAGAAGATTGGGTTCTCTCTTGGTAAGTCTGAAAAGGCAAAACACACTCCTGGCATGAAGATTTGACCCTGCCCACTCTTGCTGGTTACTGAGGAGCCGAGAGATCAGGGAGCTGTGTTCACATGAGATCAGTGACAGCCACACAAAGCTGTGCTCCCGGGACTTCCTTGGTTACACTGGAGCAAACACTATCAGAATGCCTTCCTTCCACAGAGGGGGACATGAGGCTAAACTGGGGCCTCAAGAAAGAAACCCAGCTGCACCAACCAGCTCTCCCAGGCTGACCCTTCTCCAGGGAGCCCATCAAGGCCTTGCATTTGCTTCATGCCCTCAAGAGCAGCCAGTGCAAACCCCAACAGTGTCGGATCAGGACCTAATTCTGACAGTCCCATCCTGGAGCTCCTGGAACTCGAGTTACTCAACAACTAAAAGCATGAAGCCCTCCCACCACTCCTGCCAGTCCATGTCCTTTTTAAAGACTATTTCAAACTTACAGATAAGAAAGCAAGCATATATTTAAGATAACTATGTTTAACGTGACTTAAAAAATCACAACTTCAAAATATCGAGTACTATTCAGTCCTCTGATGTGGAATACACCTGGGAGTAGCACAGCCTTCAGCTCCACTGATCCTCTGTGCAAGGTTTGCCACCTCTGGTCACACGATCTCCACTCTCATGGGCCCAGAGAAGAGCAAGAGTCAGCAGCTGTAACTGCATAAAATGGCAACATTCAAGTAAACACGCTGGTTCAAGAGTAGGCAACCTTTAGTCCAAATATAATTTACAGGAGGGAAAAAAAATTCACTTTACAACACAAACATTGGAGATGGATTTTTTTTCCCCTGTGTGAGAAATGACATGTTATCCAAAAAGGGCTTATCTGAAGAGTGCAATTATGCAAAGATAGATACTTATTAAAAAAATTAAAACCAAAAATAGTATAACCTACAGAACCTGCTGGATTTTCAAAGACTGAGGATTGCAATAGTAGCAAGGAACCGCTGCAATGTCAGTGATTTAAGGCAAGCTGTCAGGACAAGAACGTCCATGCTCCTTTTACCTATTGTCTCACATGTCCCCCCATTCTCTTGAAACCCACGCCCGTCCTAATAGTGCAAGAGGTCACACCCCAAAAGCAGCCCTCACACACACTGGAAGAAGACTCTTGCAGCAACAGTTGCTACAGCATCGCATCTCCTGGGGATTTGCCATGACAGTAATTGTGTTGTAGTTTGCTTTGGGGAATGAGAGCAGGGGACACAGATGTGCTGCATGAAAAAAACACCGCCCCTCAATGCATTAATGAACACAGCTGAGCACTGAAGCCACTCTGGCACCTCCAGTGCCCTTGAGAACACTCCAGCTTTACTCAAGCATAGGGGTTTTATCCTGAGCAGGATTCTGACCTCCGAGAGGAAAAGGATGAGTGCAGCCTTTATGCTTTTGCAGCTCCCATCTTTGCTGGGTGTTACAGGTCCAGTCCAACATGAACAAAACACAGTATTTTTGATTAAAATAAAAATACACTCATGGCACTGCATCAGGTGGGTTCCTAAAGCTTTTCAAGGGCAAACGAAAAGGCTGGTGGCTCCCTCCTGGGGAGCAGCTGCTCCATCTTCAATTCCCTGTCAGTACAGGCAGCCCGAGCAGGGAAGAGGATGTGCTGACAGAGGCCCCTGAGCCCAGGCCGTGGAGCTCTGCTCGGCCGCTCTATTGCACTCCAAAAGTAGCACCCGGGAGGACCAACACACTGGTTTGCAGCTTGACCCGGCTCCCTTTCATTGCATACACATTAAACACAGTATACCAAAAACTATGGCAATTAGATAATACTTAACTTGGGTCAATTAAAAAAAATAGATTACTCACCCAGGCATAAAATCCTGGGACAAAAGGATGGTAACCTTCAACTATTCAAGTCTAAGAACAAGAGGTAGAGATACCTATGTACTTCATGGTGAAGGAGTTACAGCCTTCTTTCTGTCTTACAATCTCATGTATTTCACTTCAGTTGTCACTATCAAACCAAAGGTTCGATTTTCAATAGTCCAGAGAGAAAATGTTAACACTGGTGGGTTTGTTTGCACACAACAAAGTTTAAGCAGACACTTTGCTTGTAATACTTATTTGAAAAAATACGTTTTGCTCTATATTGAAGCACTATCCTGAAGAATTTGGAGTTTCAGGTTAAGCGTCTTCCTTTTTTAACAGGAAGAGCTAAATTCACATGCACGCACTTCGAGCAGAGTGAACCCAAGGGAAGAACTGAGTGCCTAATTTACTGAGGACCTTCTAAAAAAGGATCACATTGCAGAACACAAGGCTGCAAGACCCAGAAACTCACAATGACTATTATTTTCCAAAGAATGGGAATGATGTAACCTCAGCCAACAAATTATATCACGACTGAGGTGGCTATTAACTACATGGCATTTCTTTTAACTTTGCTGGGCTTTTTTTAGAACCAAGGCTTAGAACTGTAAGGAAGATACTTATGTTGACAGTGTCATGAAAAGACTAAGGTCACTGGGCAGTGCATAGCCACGCCTGGGAACCATGGATGACAGCCTAGTCCTGCATCCATGGGTTCTTCAGGCTCTGGTGGACATGGGAGGAGTGAATGGTCAAAGTTCCACAGGCAAAGCTGCTGCTGCCCCAGCACTGACTGACCCACCTGGCACCCACCCTGCCCGTGGGAGCAGGGGCTGCATCTGTGCCCCAACCCGAGTCACTCACAGTCAGCAGAGCAGGGGGAACTCCCCTCACGCTCTACCTGTGCTTGGCTGAGAAGCTGCCATGGTCCAGAGGCTGATCCATGAGCGGATCTGCCAGCCCAGCCTGGGGAAGCTGCTCCTGGCATTCCCAACTGCTGCAGGCTCCAGCTGTCTGCTTTTGCACCACCTGCCACACCTGCAGTTATTTTTCCTGTGGTTCTTTCATTACAGTTGCACAATACTAAAAAGCTGTAATTCTCCATGGAAAGTAGCACCAGCAGTAAGTAAACTCACAATACAGTGTTCAATTCCAATTCATTTCCTCAGTCATGTTCTCTGGGCAGGACCTTTCAAATCCTTACTTGAATCAATCAGTCATCAGTCTTTGACCTCAGAAATGCACCCATGCGAGTAAAATTTAGCACAACTGAGCCTCCAGTTGACCTGGAAGGCAAATTTTAAAGGTGTTGCAAACTATAATATGGTGCAGGTGGTCAGCCTTTTATTACCAGGGACTAAAGTGTACAGGAGTTGTATTTCTTTGCATATAAGAGAAGGCAGTAAAATGCCACAGACTGTGGATGTCAGACCAGTTTTCCAGTATATTACTATAACTATATAGTTACCTATAGTTATTTATCCCAAGTTGCAGCAGATTCGCTACATGCATAAAGTTCCCTAATGCATACTCTAATTCAAAAAAAAAAAATTAAACAGTTGCAATGGTTTCAAGGATTTCATCAGCATCACTGCTCACTTACAGTCCTGTGCCCTACACAATAAAGATTTAAATTATATAAAAATGAAGAGTGAATGTATTTGGCCTGTTCCACAGATATTCACAGTTTAACCATTAAACAAACATATTTTCAGAGGCTCCAATATTATGAAAGACTTCTCAGAAACCTGTGCAAACCCCAGTCCCCCACCCCAGCATTACAGAGCACGGGTGAGTCTCATTTAGGATCCCAAAATCACCAGGCAATCCAAGGAAGGTCTGACAGCCTTGCTCACTGTCAGCACTGTCAAAGAGCTGCACCTCCAGCTCCTGGTTTAGAGCTTAAAACTGATACAGGTCTGGTTTGCATTCTGTAAATGGTAATTAAAAGACTGAAATTAGGCTAAAAATAAATGGTACTTTGCTAGATAGATCATTTGGCTATTTTTGCAAGTATTCTGTCCAGGGGGTGGAGTTGCTCCTGCTCCTGGAAGCAGAAGAGCAGGAGCAGGGCTGTCCCCCCACACTGAACACATGGAAACTCAGCCACTGGCAATGGTATGTCCTTTCCCCAACAGGAAACCAGATTTTCCCTTCCTGTGTGTTCACCTCTGCCTTAAAAAGAAGCTGTATTACATCTGATACATTAAATGGGCTGAGCTTGACGTGCTACAGATTGATTTCTTCCCTGCTGTCCACATTCCAACCACAAGATAAACATCTTCCTAAAAAAGCTCTATCCCTCATCCTTTGGAGCTGCTGCATGTTAGCATGTAAATGAGAAGCAGCCCCTGCCCTGATCTGGTGTGCAGGCATGCACTGGCTATCAACTGAAGAGTCTTCACACTCTGGACATTTTAATTTTCCTTTAGGAAAAAAAAAAACTTAAGTGATGAACAAAGCATTTAATAGCTGAATGAATGAAGCGTCTCAAACTTAGAAATACAGTCTTCATTTGGAACTTTTCCTAACAAAGCAGCCTCTGTTGGGGAATTTATTTTAGTTTTTAAAAAGTAACAGCACCAACAAAAGTCTTGCCATAAATTCAACACCAGCACAAGTGCTTTGGCCTGCTTTGCTCACCAAACCAGAATCAGGTTTTGCTGCCAAACAGTGCTCGTGCCACAGTAGGTTGGAAAGTTAGAGTAGCAAGGACAAAGCTTTGGGCACATTTACCCATGAAACAGCAACTTCAGGGCTCTGCTCCTGCCAAGGGACAGACTCAGCTGCATCTAAAACAAACACATTTGTTTTCCACAGCTTGTCTCCCAGCAAGAGCAGCATGGACCAAACTCTCCTTTAATTAGATGAAAGAGATGCTATCTGTGGCTTGTGGGTTTGTTTTTAAACAGTTTCCATTACCCACATTTTGTTAGTGATTTATGACCTCAGAGCCAAGCTATTGCAGAGGCTGCACACCAGCAAAGCCAGTCCCAGAATTGGGGCAGATCCTGCTCCTCTCTCTGTTAACCCCTCTGGGGCACAGCACATGTGCAAAGCACGACATCCTGCATCTGGTGACAAGCTCACCAGTTAAAACCTGTTTCCCTTCAGCTTTAAAACCCTTATAATAGCACAAAAGCCATTGGATGCTATGGATGAATGTCCAGGCTTTTTTTTTTTTTTTTTGGTTTGGTTTTTTCAGATGAAGTCATTTTATGATCCTGAAATGCAGCTCTGAAAATAAAAGGTGTGTAACGGAAGTTTATCAAATTAACTAAGCCAGCATTTGGCTATAGAGAAAGCCTTGGCAATCATTCCTTTTACCAAAAGGTGTAAAAAAGTTGACATACTAAAATTGAAAAAGGTAGCATCAATAACCAAAAAAGTTTCAACCAGTGTTAATAAAACTCCCTTTAAGTCACAACAATTTCAACAGGCAAATAGTCCCAATACAGGCATTGTAAAATAATAAATTGACTCCTATCCAAATATTATCAAATCAGTCTAAAAATGACTCATCTACACTGTTGTCATTAAGAACACATTAAGAATTCACTTTGTCATCAGATGCCGATATTGTTTCTCCAGAAAGTGTGGAGTATTAACTGCAATTTAGCAATTAAACATAGGTTTTAAAAAATTGGTTCGTCAATATTAATGCAAAAGATAGTTCCTTACATAGAAGTACTGTGCTTGCCAGACAAGTAAGGTAATACTTTAGGTATAAATCAAACAAATTAAAGCAGAATTATACCACAGTTTTCCTTGAAGACTTAGGATTTGTGTGTTGCTTCTGTCAATGTTTAGCAAACGTAAGAAGCAGAACCTTTGGTTCTTTTAGTCAAGTAAAAATATTCTCATGTAACCACAAAAATACAACTTCCAGAGAAAATGGAAGTCCATCAACAAGTCCACTTTCAATAAAACTGAGGTAGTACTGCTCTTTTATTACATGAACGTGTAAAGAGATTTAGATACAAATCATCATCTACCACTCAGTTGACTGACAGGTACAGTAATTTTATAAAACAATCCCAACATTTAGTTTGAAAGTCCAAAAAAAAGGAATGATCTGGACTCATTCACTAAGAGTTAGCTCAAAATGAGAATTAGCCATATTACAAAAAGCTGTTGCTTATGTTGGTTTTTAGAGCCTTATTACCTGGGATTAATGCATTTATAGTTAACACTGCTGTTCATCTTGGTACAAAACCTTAAAATTATTATAGCCTAAAATTTCAACAATGTAAACAGCACTACACACAGTACAGACCTGCCCTGACAGATGTAGTATGAAAAACTTAATCTGGCACTGTATAACTTAGCAATGTTAATTTAACCTAACTAAAAAGATCTACATTGTGCAAGAAATATCAGACTTACTTATACTAATCTGAAGTCTTAAAAAAAAACAACCCCCAAAAACGCTTAACTTGTAGCCAGGGTCAAATATTTCAGGGCAAGAGTAAAAGGAATAACCAAAATTAAGAAAGTGCCTAAAAATGATACAGCATTTTAGAGCCCTTTCAAAGACAAGGCAGAAAAAGGTGTAAAGTAGAAAAATCTGGAGCCTCGGTAATTTCCAGAAACATCCAGAGTTTACATTTTGTGAAGGGCAACAAGTTGCTTTCGTCACTGCTGCTTGGACACCGCTAAGTCTGTTCCTCACACAGGCCCTCTGTGTCCAAAGATGTAACACATTTGGTTTCCTCTTCCTTTTTCCTTCGCTCCATTTCCCACTCCACAAAGGTATCGAAGAGACTCGGCCAGGCCTCGTCCTCGCTGTAATTGCTAAGGTCCGGTCCAATCACCTGAGTAAAATTTAGAAACATGTTCCACGTGTCCCGGGAGATTCCCTTGATTCCTGAGGGGTTCTTGATGAGGAAGTGTAACCACTGGTCCAAAATAGGGGGCTTGTTTTGGGTGAAGACTAATTTCCAAAGGGCAATGGCTATTTCCCGATGTAGCGACCTCTGTCCTTCCTCAGAGTCCAGGCCAAACTGGAAGGTGAAACGGTAGAGATCCTTGAATTTATCTTCCTGCTTGGCTTCGTTTAGGAGGCTGGGGAACCTTGCACAAATGCCATCAATGCTGTCTGCGTTTATTGCTTTGCAGCCTTCAAAAAACTCCTTCCTATGAAGCAAGAGAAGAGAAATTAGTGTGAGCTCTTCCCGCCGACCTCGCGTGCCAAGCGCTTCCCATCTCCATTCAGCTACGGCAAATCGGAACAGGATCACCTGGACCAGACAAGGTGCACACTCTGCCCAGGTGGCCAAAGATTTTGGCAATGGAACCTACTGAAAAGAGAGACAGTTCCAAGGCATTCCTTATGGCCTGGAGAACCACACACAGCCCCCAGATCCACTGGGGCACTGTGAGCATTTGGAAGATGTTGCTGTCTGGCTTTCTGACTGTGGGACACTGCCACATCCAGTGCCTTTCACATTAAAAAGTGAATTCCAATGTACCATACAGAGGAAATTCCAAATGTTTGAAATGGACACATTTACCCCAAATTGATTCAATACTGCCCATGTCTAAATGCCCATGTTCTGGGCCAGCTGTTCTCAAGGGACAGAGCACTTCACTGGTGTTTTTCCTGTGTTTTTTTGTTGCTTTTCCAGCCTGCAAAATCAGAAGGGTGCCAACAGTGATGGTCAACAAGGCAGCTGCTGGGAGTGTGGAAGGGAGCAGGGCATCACACAATCCAGGCTACAGCACAACAACACTGCTCAAAGCTCCACTGCTGGACTAACTGGCTGACTAACACTGACCAGTGTTAGCTCTGATCTCTGATGCTCATGAGCAAGTGTTATAACCAGCCAATATTAACCAGAGCCAGCAGGTGTTGCAGAATGGGTTGGAGGGAGGACAAGAGATGGAGCAGCACGCAGGAGAAGCTTTCCTTAATGGAAAAAGTCAGTCAGCACTTGTATCATGGAGCATGCCCTGAAACAATGGTAACTGCTCACCACTAGATCTGGCCCCTCCAAGAAAACCAAAACCATATTAATAACACTCATGGTGGTTGTGCAGAATCATGGACACTGCTTACAATTCCTTTACCATCTTAGCAAATACTTGTGCCTCCAGCCTCCAGTAAATCCACATCTGCATTCCAGAGCAACTCACCCATGTGACACATGCCCACAGACACAAGGACTCTGAAGATGCTGGAATAGTTATCTGTGTTCAGTGCACAACAAAGGCTTGGGTGAAGGCTCTGAACACCAAAATAATTTTGAAAGTTATAAGCTCAGTAAAAATAGGCAGCATTATTCAAACCAATCTAGATAGACCAAAAAATTAAAAAATTTCTCCTTTGCTGGCAAGTCCCTGTAGACAGTCTTTACTTGCTCTTACCTGGACATTGCTCATCAAGTTGGGGGAGGCTGCTGCAGTTTGGGTTTTGGCTGTGGGCTTTGTGGGGTAGGTTTTAGCCATTCTGTTGTTTCCTGGAGCATCACACGTGCTGTGAGCCTGCTGACTGAGCCCCTTGTCCAGAAGGGCAGACAGCATTTGAATAGCAATCGCTTGTCAGCGGGTACGAAACTGCTACTAGAGTCAAAACCCTCACATATCCTTCCCTCACTATGCTCTAACAGGATTACTCTTGGAAAAAGACATTAAGTATAACACTGATTGGGCAGGAACAATTTTGTCATTCTTTCATAGACTGGTAATGGAGTTGGTAGCAATTACTAAAGAATCTCACATTAGTTTAAAGGAAAAATTAATTTCGGTGTCCGAGATAATGCTGGGTACAGCAAACTGCTTTTGGTAAATCAAGAATAAATGAATGTCTACAGAGTCTCACTGCACTGTTCATCACTAGCACCATAATGACCAAAACTACGTCTTCTGAAACCCACTGTGAGGGGAAGGGGAGAAGAAGGCAATACAAAGCTTACCTTCTGCAGTGGTAGGAATTAATTTGATCAAAATGCAAGTGTTAGAAGAAATAAGTGAAGCTAATGAGGCTGTGTCTCCAACATAGAGCTGACAGGATATACTTTAACATATGAAAATAATTACAAGTTCTACAAGAACTAACCTTGTAAATTTGCACATGGTAGCAGCCTGGAATTTCCAAGCCAAAACTAGTACTTTAAATTCAGTGGGATCAACACAGAGGTCATTGCAAAATCGTTCCATCCCTTCTTCCAGTATGGCATCTTCCCGTTCATCCTTGTACCTCCTAAACAACTCCCCGATCCTTTGAAGCGAAGATTCTTCTGCGCTGCAAACAGAGTCTTTCTTTGTATCTCCAGAAAACGTCGGGGGCTGACTGGACTCTAAAGCAGTGTCCGTTTTCTTTGTCCCATTCACAAGGATGTCTCCTGAAGCCTTCCCACAAGCTGAGCCATGGTCATCTTTGTGGACTGCACTTCTCTTGTGGGACTTGCTGCCGGATTCCCTTTCCCCATTTTTGCTGCCCAGGGTGGAAGAAGGATTCTTGCACTTGGTGACGCACTGGCCCATGATGTTGCACACCAGCTCCTAGCGCAGTCCCCCTGCCCTTGGACACCCTCGCAGCTGCTCTTCAACACATCTCACCATGCCATTAGCAGCACTCAGCTAACCTGAAAAACAGTTTCAGAGTCACACTGCTGTCTGTCTACAAAGGATATTTTAAGTATTAAATGTGGGATAACATTTGCCAGTAAGCGACCGACTTCAGGATATTTAAGTTCTAAATACTGAAAAGGAGCAGTGTACAGAAGGCTGGCAATGCCATAAATTTCAGGCAATTTCAGACTGTTTTACCTAGAAATCAATGCAGCTCACTCAGTGGCTGCAGTATCCTAACGGGTCCTAATAAAGGAAATTCCTAAAATTCTTACCGCAACATAGGTTACAAAGAGGTTGATTCATGTACAGGCTTCATCAAGACAGACTACTCTAACCCAGAAATATTTTAAAGGAAATGGTTTTTAGAAGTATACCCACACTTTATATATAGAATGTAGAACACTGAAACAAAGCAGGGGAGAGGGGACAGGGACACTGATGGGACAACCTGGCAGAGACCTAAGCATTGAATGTAAACTGTACCTTCAGCAAATCAGCAAAAGGGGGCTTGGGGGTTTGGCTGTTGGCTTTTTTTTTTTTTTTTATGAAAGAAGGAGAGTGGAAGTTGTGTGTTTGTTTTTAAACAGAGTTCGGAATTAGGTTTTTTTAAAATACTTAAAACGTACACAGCGCGTGTTTGCAGAAAGGAGGCAACACTCACTTTTCATCCAGGAGGGTGTTCAGGAATTGTTAATTGTTTCAAGTGGGCTCCTCCCTTCAGGTAATGAGACAGACAGGGGAGGGGGCCTTCTTAATGAATCTTCTTCAGACAGACACATGCAGATAAGAAGTAGTAATTCCAGTTCAGGCTTTTTTCTTTTTTTTTTTAAATAAAAATTAAAATACCAAAATGATTTCATCATACTCTGTTTTTATAAATCACAAAGCCTTGCATATTTGGAAAAGATATTTTACCCACAGAAAAGGGTTCTCAAATTTTCCCTATTAAAGCCAAACTAACACTCTGACGCTGCCCTATCAGCAGGCAGCCACACTGTGGACAGTCCCTTTCTCAGAAACATCAACTCCAAGAAAGCAATTGCTTATCATATTCCTCCTTTACCCACTCATTTGCATTTCATCTCTGCTGTCAGCTAGGCAAAAGCCTCAAACACAAAAATTTGGTTTGCCTTGTCTTTGTGTACTGCTTCCAGCTTAGAATTAGTACAAGAAAGAAGAGAGATAAAAATTAATAAATAAATAAATAAATAAAAGAAATAAAATAGATGTCATATCAGTTTTTCCGTATTCATTCTTTCTTCACTAGAGCTCTTATGAGGCTGAGCCCATTTTAAGCTGTAAACCAACTGCAGCAACAAGTACAGATGAATTCTCAGCTTTCAGACATAAATCTCCTTTCAGCCATTTGTCCCTGTTTTGAGAAAACAGCACACATGCAGTTTCAGGAACAAAAACTTTTGCCATTGCAACTACAACAGGCCTGTATGTTGGTTACAACAGCCAAGATGCTGTTTCAACTACCTGTCTTCCCTTTCCTTCCCCAATCCCTTTTCTTAAGCACATAACCCATACACATAACAAACAAATACTTATTTTTAAGCAGCCAAAGGAACAAACATCTAATACATCCTGTCATCACCCTGCTCTGAAGATGAACTTTGTAGCATCATTTTTATAGGCAAGTAAAGTTCAATTTAATGTATTAAAAAAATTCTTAGTAATTTGTATCTTTAAAGGACTCTTGAAAATATGCATGTCCACATAAACAACCCAAAAGACAATTTCACTGGCCCTCAGTACTTCATAGCTCTGTGAACTGCAGAGCACAGCCTGGCACTGATTCCTGTGTTGCCATGTGCCTGAGCAACATCATCTTCTCCAGCCTCCACCAGTCATTACTTCATTACACCAAAATAAACAGGATATTAGTAGGCAGAGTAAGAACTGCTTAGTGATTAACTCCCAGATACCAGCTTTTTCCCTTATCTTTAAATTCAGCAGAACTCAAACGCTCAATCTACACTAATTCTTGTTCTTCAATCAGTTTCTCAGGGACAGGTAGCAAGCACTACATTGGACGAGTTTTTCTTTAGAGAGAAACATGCAGGTAAAAGAGCAGAATAAAAAAATCTGGAGGAAAGACCAGTGTTAGAGTTTAAAGTAGAGTTTAAGCAGTACAAAAAATTTTCTGCTCAAACACATAACAGCAGGTTTTAGCTATTGGTGATTTGGAACAGCTTTTCCCTATGGGCAGGTTAAAGAATAGCTGCCTATTAGTGAGCAGTACTTTCCTTTAAAGTAGCTGGTAGTACTCAAATCACACACAGCATAATTGACAGAGATTAATCCAATTCACTTTAGGATCCCAAATTAAAGCTCAAAAAAAAAAAAAAAGGCAGTTTGTGAGACTGACATACTGTGTCTGTAACTTTTCCTAATACAAGTCATTCATGCTGCCATTCCTAAGCAACAGCTTGTATTAAAGATGATAACAATCTAATATTCAGGTGTGCAAAGTGACATCACCTGCCTGATGAAAGAGATGGGGTTTAAAGTCATTTGTTGTCACAAAAAAAGCACTACAATATGGAGAGAGAAGGTCAGCCAGCATTATTAGACACCTGTATGTGAGAAAGTGTCCCAATCCAACAGCTGTTCCCAAAAACCCCTGGCAAGCACAGCAGCATTTACCAACAGAGTGCAAAGTAACCACGTCCCCTGCATCGTACCCCTCTAACAAACACAATTTCTGTACTCTTACTTGCCTTACCAGGAGCCCAGCGCTGCACCTGAACAGTTCCTGCCTGGGCACTGCCAGCACTGCTCTTCCCTGCAGTAAGTTCTTCCTTCCTCCTCCCTGCCGAGATTTTCAGAGCACAATCCTACTCCTTATGAACAAACATGAGAAGATATTGATGTACAGTTGCTGCAATTCCTCACTTTTGTACTACACGAAACTTGATGCCATGTGCCAGATACTTAGAAGCATTCTACCCCAAAAATAGCAAAACCAGCTTGGGAAGAAAAAAAAAAAAAAAAAGCCAGACTGCATCCGCTGGCAGCTTGTGCATGTATCTGGTTTTGTAAGAGAAAAGTCTTTTGGCACTCCATCAGTTACCCTTCTGTAAATCGCCTTCACTGAGCTGGATCCACTTCACTTAGGAGTCACCTCCGCTTCCTACATGACTCAGGTTTCAAGGCATGAAAGGAACATGTTTCTGTCTCGGAAGGAGATAGAAACAAGTGGGAGAAGTCAGCCCTTTTGTTAAGGAAGGCTGGAGAGAGGATCTAGTTGCAGCATCAAGGGCTGCACTGAAGCCAGTGTTCAAGGAGTGAGAGAGGGCACTCTCAGGAAGGTGAGCAAAGCAGTCATTTTCCTGCACAGCAATGCCAGTGTCACACCTTGGTCATGCCAAGCACAGCCACAGGAGTGCAAGGACCTGCAGAGATATTTCTCCCAGCTGGATCAGGAACTACAAGTATAAACTCCTCCCGTGCCCAAAGGTTACACTGGATTGGTGGCAAAGCACCAATTCCAAAAGGATCAATTCCCATGAGCAACATTACTGTAAGAGGCTTGTACAACATAAAAGCAAGACATAAAAGGCAGCACTGACCACTGCTTTGGCCATTCTGCGAGAAAAGGTCAAAATTCAGGGCTAAGGTTGGAATGTGCCCAGTGCTACAGGATGCAGAAGTCCCAAAGAAGTTTATTACTCAGACAAGGATTGAGCAATGACCTCCAGCACATATGAATCACCAAGAAGCCCATGAGGCCATCTTCCACATAACAGGAACTGCAAAGCAGAGACTGACAGTGACGTTCTCTGCACCTTTCTAGAAAGGAGGCAGCAATGGGGAACACAGGAGGACCAGTGCTGGTGAATACAGCCAGTGAAAGGCAAGTGACTCTCTAAGAAAAAAGGATGAGCAGAACCATATGGCCTCATTATACAATGAAAAACCTAGAGGAGATTGCAAAGGCCTTGGCTAATGCTTGGTGGGGCTTTTTGTTTTGGTGGGGTTTTTGTGGGGGATTTTTTTCTAAGTGCTGTAAGGAATTCAGTTTTTCTCCATTTTCAAGGGACCAGATCCCACATAACCCAAGATTTGAAGGGAGCAAAACAAAGTGACTCAGTAATAATTCTCTGTCATACAGGCACACCATGGCACAACTGAAAATGGCAGCACTGAAGTGGGGGAGAGCTGGCAGGAGGGGAGAAGATGCAAAGGAGATACTTAAGCAACCCTGTATTTTTCTTTGATGACTGGTGTTATTGTAGTAATAGAAATTATTGGATATGTCCAGAGAATAACAAGCAAAACAAGCATTATGCTGTTTAGTAAAGTGTTGCATCAGAAAGTATTTACAATGAGTTTCCAAACAGAGAAAGTATCAAGAGAGTAGAAGAAAAAAACCTTCCATACATTCAAGAACACCTCCAAGACAAATTTTAGGAAATCTCATAACAAAAGGGGACACAGCTCAGCCAACCATTAAATCCCTTTCCAAGTAGCAGTTCACTAGCTAAGGCAAAGACAACACTGCTAGAGCTTAACTAAGCCTCATTCCACCTCAGCTTTTCACAAACACTCGAGCATAGTCTGTAAGAATTTCACAGAATTCCACTATGCATTGTCTACCTTTTAGTGGACAGGGATACGTGACTTCTAAAACAGCTGAGAGTAGGGAACAGTATCATGGGTGCCCTGTCTTCTTCCAGCTCTGAACAGACACACAGAGCTTTCCACTGGGGAGGCAGGAGGGGATCATTGCCACTGCTGAACCCGAAGTAGTCCTTGCTCCAACAACTGATACTGGGCAGGTGATCTTGCAAGCAAACATCTAATACTTACGTAGTTTCAGCTACACAGGGAATCATTCCATTAGCTTCACAGCTTCCTTCAGTCTCCCTGGGTTCCACATGTAATGCTGAAAGACAAAAGACCACACAAATCTTCACATTTAGAAGAGGCCACGAAAACCCTGAAATGCACCAAACCACTGAGAACCAATTATGCATTTAATAAAACCCTTCAGAGCCAAACTCCATTTGTTCAAAGTCATCTTATAAAAAACTACTTCATTTTTAACTTATAAAGTAGCATTAACACCATTCACTCTGTATTGTCATATCAAGAATAAAACAGGTACTGAAAACTACAGACAAGTTCAAATGTTTGTTAGGAGTAAACATGCACTTCCGGATACTTTTATGGCTTTCAGCATGGGAGAGTTAATTCCTCATTTCATGCACTCAAAGCAAAACAGAGGACACGCTATCATTGTCACTGCATGTTAGCTAAGCGGCTGTTTAATCTGTGAATGCCAGACAGCTGCTACCTAGCAAAGCATGATTTGGGTCTGGAGGGTAATTCTCTTTTTTTCATTCTCTAGCACATTCTTTTCCATGTTTGTTTTCCCATGTTCAGTTGAGCTGGCTCAACTTCACTTCTCTTAAATTCCCAGCTCTGCTATACAACTAGGAACCTCTGAAGAGATGACAGACAAAGGTATGTCTGGTTTGTGTAGCAAGAGCTACAACTGTAGCCCCTAGTCAACACCTCTGTATCTGATCTAGAAGAAAAACAACAAACAAGAAATCTCTGGCAACACTCCCCTGCTCTACCACACGAACAGAAACACTAAAACGTCTTGTTTTTACAGCTCTTGGTACATCTAGGGAGCAGACAAGTGATCAAAAGCTGCCTTGCTGCATGCTTACCTTTTGCATAAGATCTACTCCTTAGGAAACAAGTAGAAACATTAGCTTGTTCAGTGCTTTCTTCAGTAGAAAGCAGGGAATGAGTGTAGAAAGACAACCATGAAACAAGGTCTTATCATACATGTCAATCTCCACAAAAGTTGAGTTTTCCCAAAACCCGAGTCCTGTATTTGGACTAGGACAAATTTGACTGACAAATAAAACCTAGTTCAGATCAAAGTTTTTTAAAAAGCTTTAAGAGCCCAGAGAAATAGGCATTCAAATAGTTTCAAAACACCTAGAAATTCTGAAGTGGTACTTTTGCACATATACACACACAGAGCAAAAACGTATCTCCACTGAACCATTTATCCATTGAGGTGGATAGACCAAAAAGCTCCTTCATGCTGGGTTTATATTCTTAGCTCTCAAACCTCATCTTCCACACAAACAATCTCTCTTCCAAGGCCTCACAGCTCTTTTAGCAGACAGTCCTGTGGGTGCACAGCCATCAGCCAGCTTTAATGTGCAGAGAAGAGGAGCGCCTGCCTCTCTCATGGTGGAAGTACTAGCTTGGATTTCTTCCTATTTGACTATAGCATCCCATGAATTTCAAGAATGTAAGAAAACCCAACACCTGGCACTCTATGTTAATTTCTTTTGGCCCCCTGCATCTAAATAATTCCTTTTATAAATCATCAGGGAGGAAAGAAGAGAGGAGGGACACAGGGCACTTCGAAGCCTCATTCCCCCAGGAAATTGTTTAAACAGAGGAGAAGCAACATCTTACAGTTCACATTTTGAAGATCACTGTCATGGCAACTTTATGCAACAAACTACTTTTCAAATATACTTGTATTTCTTTGGAAGAAATCTTTGATCCACCAAATCTACATTTCCAGTTGACTACTACACACACTGGAAGCAAGCACTTATTTCAAGTTCAAAAGAAGCTGAATCTGATGGAGTTCAGCCCTACCAGCAAAAGCCAAACCTTTTCAGGTTGTTTGAAGTAGTTTCCACATTGGCTGACCTACACACACACACACACAGTCTGGAGCCAGAAATTTTAACATCTGTTAGAACTGCCAGCTACAATTCTTTCCCTTTCTTTATATTTCTATTCTTCCAAGTTGCCCATTTAACCTTTTTGAAAATTTTTACTGTAGCAGCATATGTAAACTTTGGTGACAACACACTTATGGGATGTGGAATAAAACGTTAGTATGAGTTAGCATTTAAAAAATCAAGCTCTTCAAGTCTGTATTTAAAGGCTATCATAGCACAGCAATGCGTTTGTGGCTGACTGACTTCATCCTAAATCACACTGTGACTGCAGTCAGGGGGGAAGAAGCATCAACACTTTGGTGGCACAGGTTTTCATTCAGTCCTTGGGTCAGGGCTGCAAGGTGGAGCCGATTGCTGTGATCACCCACATCCCCCCCACACCAGGAGCCACCAGGAGCGTGTGGAGCCACAGCAACTCAGACAACAGCCTGCACTGCTCATTAGCAAGCCCTCAGCAATCCACAGAGAAATAGATAAGTAGATAGTGTGCACCCTCAGGATTATGGAGGCCTTAGTTTTGCTCACCTGCCTCCTGCACCTGTGTGTGACTCCCCCGGTGACTCTGGCTCTCCCAGCGCTGGGGCACAGAGATCCCTGCAGGGCCCTGCAGCCACAGCTGCCATCGCCCTCCTCACCCGGCCTCGGCAGCCCTGCCAGGGCTAAGAGAGTTCTCACCAAAGGCAACTCCGTGGGGAATCAGTGATAGCCTTTCCCTCTTCAGCAGGCAGAAATGGAGAGGATCAGCTCTGCTGGAACCTTCCCCAGTGCAGCTCAGAGTTCTACACCCCAGCACCAAAGCACCTGGTGCACAAGTGTTACAGCACAAACCAAGCTTTGCCCAGCAAAGCCAGCATGGTATGGAAACTGCTTATTTCAAGTCTTAACCTGCAATGAAACTTTCCCAGCAGAAGCACTCTGAGTGCAGCACAATGGCATATTAAGGGCTTTCAGGAGCCCAGAAGGCACCTCACCACATCCCCAGCACCAGACTGTCACATTAATCTGCCCTGCACCTCTGCTGCACAAATACACTTATGCAAAGTTACTTAAGAGGAAGTCTAAAAGCAGGAATGTCCTGCTGCAATTAGTTAAAATGAATTATTAGCTTGTGAGGCTTCCTGCAGTTTAAGCACCTTTCAGTGAACTCCAGAGAGGTTATGATTTTGGGGGCGGACAGATGGGAACTCTGTCGATGTGTTCCAAAGCGGGGTAACAAACTATTTCTGATTAACCTTGGTTTGAGCTTTGGAAACAAACCAGCTTCAGAAACGTGATCAAACTGGGTAAAATTTGTCTCTACAGAACATGCCTATACAGCTAGTTATACAAACACATGAAAAGGGACCATGCAGAGTTGGCAGAAAGCTACATGGCAGTCTATGGGAAAGCCAAGCCAGGAATGCACATATTGGAAGCCTGAATACCTCCTCAAGTGAGAAGTGGACTTCTCTGAGAAAGGCCATACTGGAAAGGCTTAACTAGTTTGGAAGGGAAGAGAGGACCAGGTACAAAAATCCCAAAAAGTTTCAGAAACAACGCTTACAGTCCATAATGCTGGGCCAGGTCTCAGAGCCAAGAACCAGAGTTACCCCAGATCTCTTCCTAGATTTGCTCCCACAGTCACCAGGATGCAGGCAAAAGCCTCTTAACAAACAACTGACCCACAACATGGTGTGCTGTCACTTCAAGTCACGAACTGGGACATCAAGGGAGATTTTTCCATTCAAGATGGGGCAGAAGAAACCTGCTTTCTGCACTCTTGAAGAGTACCTGACTAACACACAGAGTGTGACATCACATTTCATGTTCAAAGTCCAACAAGTAGTCTTAAGAAAAAAATGGAACAGATGTTTCGGAACTGTAGTTCACTGTGTGCAGCTAATTATACAAGGAAAAATTAATAATAATAATATGAAAAATTATAGGGAGAGAGAGCCTGAAGGCATCCTACTACGTTTTCTTTTGTAAGACACATTCCTTACGTAGCTTTTTCAGCAGAGACACATGCATCATCCTTGAATCCCTCCCTTTCTTTTACATTCCCTAACCACACAATACCTTACTAACTGATTACTTCTCATTGTTTTTCCACTTGGTCCCATTAAAAAGTTTTAAATCCTTTCCTATTATGCACTTCATCTTACTTTATTAGGTGAGTGGGATGATTTGTTAGGATTATTGTATTTTCAAAGAACAAATCCAAGTCCAGTTAGCTAAACAAAATATAATTTTAGAAGGGTGCCTTCAGGTGTCTCTGTAATATAAATAAATTAATGAACTAATTCATGCAGTAGCAGCACTTGTTTTGAGAAGTCTATTTAGACTATGAGCAAGACAAGGGGCTGAGGGGAAATCAAGACAGCCAAACGACACAGCTGCTTAAGATCATGCCATCAGTTTTCAGTAAAGCTGAAACCAGAACCCAAATCAGATTCCATCCAATTCCCTACCTCATACACTCTTAGACATGAACAAACTCGTTTATTTCACTGCACAAAACTCAACCACCTTCAAAAAACAAAGGTTTGGTCACCGAGCAATTCACCTCCATCCATTTAAAAACTACTGGTCTTCTCCCTCTCCCTCAAGATCCTTCTCAAAGGCCATACAACTCTCAAGGTCCAGCACATACAAAAAAGCAAATCATCTTCTAATGAGTGTTTGGGGTTTTTTTTCCCTTTCATGTGCAGAGGCTTGTAAAAGAATAATCCTTCAGTATTTTTCCAGGGTACGCTGTAACTTTTGCACAGTGTGACAGACCTTTAGCACTTCGGTTTGTATTATGAATAATTAAAGCAGCACATGCCAGGGGCAGAGCTACTCTGTGCTCTGACACAACCAGTTCACATCTCTACAGCAAAACTGCAGATTATGGGACCAGAAGAAACCACAGCCCACAGATATTTGACAGAGATGTGTCTCACTGCAAGCATCTGAAAGCAGCTGTGCTGCAAATATTTATCTTACTCTGGTTCAGTCCATTCCACAAATTAATCTACGGAAAACTGCAACTATTTGCAGCCAAACCAGAATAACTTTGAAAAACCACCTTGGTCTACAACCTACTCTGCAATGGAAAAAAAAACATTTACTTTTAAACTGAGCTAAGTGTGCACAGATTTTCTTTTACACTGAAATCAGCTATCAGACTTCACCTTGA